GTAATCTATTAGTCAATTCGGTCCACTACATGTTTGAGTTGGTTTGAGTCGGAATAGGTTGAAAAAAAAGTGAAATTTTTATCTAAACCAATTTTGATGTGGCTCACTAAGAATTAGTGATGTGTTGGGTTAGCTCACCAACCCACCTTTTTTTATTTTTTTTAATGAAATGAAATGAATTAATTATTCAATGAAACAAAAAAATATTACCCCTTGACCTATCTAAAACCTTTTTTTTATATCGATTGGTCTAATTATTATTGTTTCAATTTGATCGATCAAAGTAGCTTGTTATAAAAGTCATGAAAGAAGAGAGTAAAAAAAAGTTAAGTGAGTGAGTGTGTTTAATCCATCAATTCATGGTATCGAGCAATATTTACATTTTTTTCGACTCGCTAATAAATGAATCGGGTTAGATTGTCTCATTAAGTGACCAATTATCAACTCAAGAAAATATGTATAGATACCTCAGGGTCCTTGGATTCAAAATCCATGGGGGTTGCAACGTGGAAAACTCCTGTGCAGCCTTTAATGGCTTCGTCAAAGCTTCCCTCTTCACCAAGGTCAGCTTTCCACAGAGACAGTTTCGTCTTTGCACCTGGAAGTTCCACCAAATGCTTCACCTTCTTCATGTTTGCTGCAGGGTATGTATGCACGTCCATACATATCATAATTAGCATAAAACACTGTGATATCTATGTAATCTCCACTTTCACGTGCACGTGTCTTTTTTTTCAAGAGAAAGTTTCAGCAAGTTGAATAACATAAAAAAAACAGTCTTAAGTTTATTGTGTAGTTAAGATTTTGGTTGAATCTGTCATGTTTTGTCATAATTCACTTCCATTAATTAAGATATATCTTTGTCATAATATTATCAAAAAATTTAGGTTAACTTATGATTTTGTGTCTTTTTTAAGATTTTATACTGAGACCAAACATTCATCAATAAATTTAAGTTATTTTTAGTATAAATCTTTTTTTAGTTGTTCAAATTTAAGATCTTATTTACGAACATTCCCAGTTAGATCTATGGCCAGACGAAAAAACCAAAACAGGACCAGAATTTCAAGCTTTGTAATTTCAAAACATGGTGTAATCTTCTGGTGGCACTATGAGAATATAAGAACAAATTAATGAGGTGGATTTAGAGAGAGTATCATAAAGGTTAATTAAAACTATGTAAAATTATTAAAGAGTGTAAGACTTTAGCAAAATTTCAAATAGTTGTCTTTAATTCTAATAAATAAATAAATAAATAAATAAAGTGAAGTAAGAATGAGACCTGGGTCGCGTACGGTGGCTCGAACCGTGTAGCCACGCTCCATTAGCCTCATCACAAGCCATGATCCTATGAAACCTGAAGCTCCGGTAACGCAAACGGATTCGGACCTTGAACTCATTTTTTATTTTATTTTATTTCTTTCTTTGTTTTTAAGGTTGAAAATGAAATGGAAGAGTGTATGAAAATGAATATGGTTTTATAGAAGCAACTGGGGAAAGTGGAATGAGGTAGATGTCTGAATTTGAGTTGGAATTAGATGTACAAAATTTAGATATGTTTGTAAATCCATAATCCAAAATCAATATGGTTTTGTTTGGTACATTTGGGATTTGGTATGTTCGTTTTTCTTTTGACTCCCCACGTGGTGAGCAGCCAGTCATATATAAATTAGTTACACTGTTGACCACGTGACACTTTCCAAATTCTAAGGAGGAGTGTCCCAACTGAATATTGTCCAGTCGCACATTTCACTAAGTGTTAACTTACTATTAACACATTCCAGCCATGGTCTCCATTGCAACATGGAGTTTTGTTTTTAAAAATACATCTCCGAAAAGTGAAAAGAAGAATGTATGTAATTATTATTGATATCGATTATTAAGTAATTTGTTTTTGAAATTTGATTATTTTTTATTTGGTTTATAAAGTTTAGGTTAAGTTTTGTTAGTATTCCGTCCTTTATCTACCATTCAGTTGAGTTGGGTGTTACATACAGAAAGCATTTTGATGTTAAAGTTAATGTTTAACTGAATATCTTAGCAATAAATGCATAGTAGAAAGTAACCAACTACCTTAATATCAAACTTGTACTTATAGATTTTGGGATAGATTTCTAATCAATGTCGATCTAATTACGATCCAAACAATAATGATCTGATTTAGGATTGATGTAATTATTCTTAGTGTTAATTTTGTCTATAGTCTGATCGACCAGTCTACCCATCGTTTCATATGGGATCCAAAAGATTGTTACCGCTCAGTCTATGGTTGACCAAACGGTCATACTCTACATATTCCTTGCATACTAAAACTCGATCTTTTATCTTCAAATATTATAGTTGTTAGAACGGTTTGGTGTGAATAAAAAATGAATTTGATTTACTAAAAATCCAACCTAAATTGATCGGGTTGGTGTAAATTAAAAAAACACCTGACATTCTTCATACGCATCAACATTTTTACTTCTTGCACGTCACNTGGCATTGTTGGCATAAGAAAGGGACCAACGACAAGAGGTGGAATGATGGAGACAAAGTCTATGTTATGTTCTTTGGCGAATTTCCAAGCTTCTTTCTCCGCCAGGGTCTTTGAAACAAAATACATCTACAGAGAAACATGGTGTAGAGTAGAATCATTCTTCTTCATGGTGTATGAACAAAGAAAACATGTAAGATAGATACAAAGAACTAACCCAACCAGTCATTTTGACCCTTCTGCAGAACTCAACATCACTCCAACAGTTCTCATCATAAACAGGCTTTGGTTGCTCAGCAACATCAACAGTTCCAGCTGAGGATGTGAAGACAATTCTTCGCACACTTTTGGCCTTCACGCATGCTTTCATGATATCGAGTAACCCCTTTATTGTCGGCTTTATCACTTCGTTCTGCATTTCCACTCAATTTTTTTAACCATGTTACAACAACTTAATTCAACATTTTCACAACTATGGTAAGAATATATGTATAGATAATGGCTCTTTCGAGAGAAATTCATATGAAAGATTCAACAATAACGTACCTAAACCAAAGTACATAAGAAATTCATAAGAATTATTGCTGTCACATTGGGTAATCTATTAGTCAATTCGGTCCACTACATGTTTGAGTTGGTTTGAGTCGGAATAGGTTGAAAAAAAAGTGAAATTTTTATCTAAACCAATTTTGATGTGGCTCACTAAGAATTAGTGATGTGTTGGGTTAGCTCACCAACCCACCTTTTTTTATTTTTTTTAATGAAATGAAATGAATTAATTATTCAATGAAACAAAAAAATATTACCCCTTGACCTATCTAAAACCTTTTTTTTATATCGATTGGTCTAATTATTATTGTTTCAATTTGATCGATCAAAGTAGCTTGTTATAAAAGTCATGAAAGAAGAGAGTAAAAAAAAGTTAAGTGAGTGAGTGTGTTTAATCCATCAATTCATGGTATCGAGCAATATTTACATTTTTTTCGACTCGCTAATAAATGAATCGGGTTAGATTGTCTCATTAAGTGACCAATTATCAACTCAAGAAAATATGTATAGATACCTCAGGGTCCTTGGATTCAAAATCCATGGGGGTTGCAACGTGGAAAACTCCTGTGCAGCCTTTAATGGCTTCGTCAAAGCTTCCCTCTTCACCAAGGTCAGCTTTCCACAGAGACAGTTTCGTCTTTGCACCTGGAAGTTCCACCAAATGCTTCACCTTCTTCATGTTTGCTGCAGGGTATGTATGCACGTCCATACATATCATAATTAGCATAAAACACTGTGATATCTATGTAATCTCCACTTTCACGTGCACGTGTCTTTTTTTTCAAGAGAAAGTTTCAGCAAGTTGAATAACATAAAAAAAACAGTCTTAAGTTTATTGTGTAGTTAAGATTTTGGTTGAATCTGTCATGTTTTGTCATAATTCACTTCCATTAATTAAGATATATCTTTGTCATAATATTATCAAAAAATTTAGGTTAACTTATTATTTTGTCTCTTTTTTAAGATTTTATACTGAGACCAAACATTCATCAATAAATTTAAGTTATTTTTAGTATAAATCTTTTTTTAGTTGTTCAAATTTAAGATCTTATTTACGAACATTCCCAGTTAGATCTATGGCCAGACGAAAAAACCAAAACAGGACCAGAATTTCAAGCTTTGTAATTTCAAAACATGGTGTAATCTTCTGGTGGCACTATGAGAATATAAGAACAAATTAATGAGGTGGATTTAGAGAGAGTATCATAAAGGTTAATTAAAACTATGTAAAATTATTAAAGAGTGTAAGACTTTAGCAAAATTTCAAATAGTTGTCTTTAATTCTAATAAATAAATAAATAAATAAATAAAGTGAAGTAAGAATGAGACCTGGGTCGCGTACGGTGGCTCGAACCGTGTAGCCACGCTCCATTAGCCTCATCACAAGCCATGATCCTATGAAACCTGAAGCTCCGGTAACGCAAACGGATTCGGACCTTGAACTCATTTTTTATTTTATTTTATTTCTTTCTTTGTTTTTAAGGTTGAAAATGAAATGGAAGAGTGTATGAAAATGAATATGGTTTTATAGAAGCAACTGGGGAAAGTGGAATGAGGTAGATGTCTGAATTTGAGTTGGAATTAGATGTGCAAAATTTAGATATGTTTGTAAATCCATAATCCAAAATCAATATGGTTTTGTTTGGTACATTTGGGATTTGGTATGTTCGTTTTTCTTTTGACTCCCCACGTGATGAGCAGCCAGTCATATATAAATTAGTTACACTGTTGACCACGTGACACTTTCCAAATTCTAAGGAGGAGTGTCCCAACTGAATATTGTCCAGTCGCACATTTCACTAAGTGTTAACTTACTATTAACACATTCCAGCCATGGTCTCCATTGCAACATGGAGTTTTGTTTTTAAAAATACATCTCCGAAAAGTGAAAAGAAGAATGTATGTAATTATTATTGATATCGATTATTAAGTAATTTGTTTTTGAAATTTGATTATTTTTTATTTGGTTTATAAAGTTTAGGTTAAGTTTTGTTAGTATTCCGTCCTTTATCTACCATTCAGTTGAGTTGGGTGTTACATACAGAAAGCATTTTGATGTTAAAGTTAATGTTTAACTGAATATCTTAGCAATAAATGCATAGTAGAAAGTAACCAACTACCTTAATATCAAACTTGTACTTATAGATTTTGGGATAGATTTCTAATCAATGTCGATCTAATTACGATCCAAACAATAATGATCTGATTTAGGATTGATGTAATTATTCTTAGTGTTAATTTTGTCTATAGTCTGATCGACCAGTCTACCCATCGTTTCATATGGGATCCAAAAGATTGTTACCGCTCAGTCTATGGTTGACCAAACGGTCATACTCTACATATTCCTTGCATACTAAAACTCGATCTTTTATCTTCAAATATTATAGTTGTTAGAACGGTTTGGTGTGAATAAAAAATGAATTTGATTTACTAAAAATCCAACCTAAATTGATCGGGTTGGTGTAAATTAAAAAAACACCTGACATTCTTCATACGCATCAACATTTTTACTTCTTGCACGTCACATATCAAATTCTAATATAACATAAATTTCACCTAGAACAAGATAACGAATTTGAAGTTGTTGATTGCTTCATGGTCTTAATTTTACATGCTTGTTGATTATGGGTCAAAGTTATGTTTGTTTTGCTCCATCCTTTCTCTTTCTTGTAGGCTTTTATAGTTTATGTTTGTGGTGATTTCTGGGAACAGAAAGAGTTTGTCTTCCGGTACATTCATCGAACACCTGGAGTTCGAAACCAGACGTCATATGAGGACAATATATGGAGAGTCTTCTTTTACTTTCAGTATGAAGACAAATGAAGAAACATATGGCCCCGTAGGAAGAAACTGCCTACAAACTGATGGGTTGGTGGAATTTGGGCTTATGAGTCCAAACCCAATTGATGATCACCTCTTTACAAACTGATGGGCTGATTGAGTTTTAGCTTACTCCATATTCATAGCGTCTCTAGTATTGTTATATAAATACTTACGATTAAATAAAATTATTAAATTTATTTTATTGCATTAAAAGAACTTATACTTGTTTTGTAAATCATTTTTAAATATATATTTTAAAAATATAAACATAATCTATAATAAAATATTGTGACCAACTTTATAATTAGAAGTTGCTGTATATAAACTTGTTTAAAAGGTAAGTTTCAAATTAAAATCAATAATCTCGACAAGTTGAGAAAACTTCTGAGGTAACAAAGCTAAAATAAATCAACTTCAATAATTAGTTTAGATATTATGATTTACGTATTGAACTAAATCAAACAAAATTAATAATATTTTCTCAATATAATACGGTTACAAATTTTTAACATTGACTTAGCCGAATACTATATAAAAATACTTGATTCAATTGAGATGGAAGAAAAAAAAATGTTGAAATGATCATGGCTCATTTGATGAATTTAATTGCTAAGGTAGTATATTTTGACTCATTAAACTTAAAACATAAGAAGACTTGATAATTAAAAGAAAATCAAAGCAATAATACAAGTTGGAAGTCATGCTATGATTTCCAACGGTATAATATATAAATAATATAGACAAATTGTTTCGGTTATTTGGAAACTAAGTTACCAAATTCCTCCACAATTTATTCTTTTGTCCACTTGCCGTCCGGCTCCTAATTTCGCTGTCCACTCCTACCGTCCGGGGAAACCTGTCAAAGATTTTCCGATGTCAAAGTCAATACGGAAACTGGCGATTTCGATGGAATAGTAATAAATGTGCAGTGAATGCAACCTAGCTACTACTCACCTCTGACCTCTATTTATAGTTTTTTACTATGGGCTTGGGATTAGTGAAAGTTAATCACGATCCAACTCCAGCCTAATAGCTCTAATCCTGATTTACCTTAATCTTTTATCTTAACCACCTGGCTTACCCGTCGGCTAGCCTTGAACGGTCATCCATGCGATAAATCAGCATTACTCTAGGATGGTGGAACGGTCGTTTAGATGACAGCGTGTGAAGTGAATTTCTACATGAACAGTTGCTCTCCCATGCTGTTAAGATTAAGATGGGGGAAACGCTGGTGGTTGGTTGAGTCTCGGGAATAAAACCGAACCGGCAGGTCCATACGGTACACAAATATAAATTTATTTATTCAAATATACATTAAATAATAAGTGAGACAATAATAATGTATTCGAAATATAGAAACAGTTTTATTAGAAGTACATGTAACTAACAACCGTGTGACCATAATCACTTGAATCAACAGAAGTAGATGCTCAAACATGTAATGTTATGAGACATTATTAGAAGTTCATGTTACAATGTACGCACATTTCTAACTTAATAAAAAAACTGAGATTGAAACTAACCAAGAAACATGCATGAACAAATAAATTAAAGGGTGTGTTTAGTTCTGAATAACGCCCTTGGTAGGAGTTTCTGCATTCTGAATGATACTACTGAGTGGAGTTTCAGCAAGTTTAGGAAGAAGCCCTTTGTCTCTGCATGTATCAATTGCTCCACAGTACATATCCTCTAAGCTGTACTTAAATTGGAATCCTAAATCTTTTATCTTCTTCGAAGAAAATCTCACAACCTCCAATTCATCTGGAATATTCTTGAACCTAAAAAAACTCCAATATTATGAACATGATCATGAACATTTGATGGATATAATAATTAAGAATAATGTTCTGGTCTTGTGTGAGAAACTTACTTGGTGGGGATCTTGTACTCAGGGTATTTTTCATTGATTAGTTTGGCAATGTCATGAATAGTAGTGTCACATGCACTGCATATGTACCTCCCTTCAACTTTTGGTTGTTCAAACAGAAATATGTGAGCAAGACACAGATCATCCAAGTGCACGAACTGACCTTGCTTTATGATCGAATAATGGCTCTCATTTCCTGCAAATTTTTCACTCATAAAGTTTTCTTGGTCCATCGAAAAGGAATTTCATTTTAAAAATACAATATCAACGAAAAATGAGTCCAATCACGTAAAACGTTGACACCAGTCTCAGTCTAAAATCTTTAAATAATAAGTTAACGTGTCTTTTATCTTTATATAATTCTTTGTTCTCTCGTTTATATCTAACGTAGAACTTTGACTCATGGATTTCAAATATATATCGTATATCAGATAACTTACCTGTGATAGGAGAAAGGGCAGTGATTAGGCTTGGTGGCATGGTTGGCATGAGAAAGGGACCAACAACAAGAGGTGGAATGATGGTGATGAAGTCCATGCCATGATCTTTGGCGAATTTCCATGCTTCTTTCTCGGCCAGTGTTTTAGAAACGAAATACATCTGCAGAAAGAATAATCAGTGAGAAATCATGAAGGAAAAAAAGCATGGTGTTTTGTGTTGAAAGATGAAAATTTGAATGGTAATGGAAGAAAAATGACTAACCCAACCGGTCATCTTTACTCTCCTACAAAACTCAACGTCACTCCAACAAGTTTCATCAAAAACGGGCTTCTGGTGCTCAATAACATTAAGGGTTCCTGCTGAGGATGTAAACACAAGCCTTCTCACTGTCTTTGCCTTCATGCAAGCTTTCATGATATCCAGAACTCCGTTTACTGTAGGCTTTATCACTTCACTCTGCACCACTTTCCATCAACTTTATCACATTCAAACAATAATAATAGAAAAATGTTTTTTAACAACTTCTTTTACAATTGTGTATGTGATCCGTTTCAAATATAGTCACCAATAAAATAGTAACACCTATTTTATTATCAAAAAATTGTTAATATACCATGGCCCATAATAATATTAATTGAGAGCATGATATTTTAATAATTTTTTGACAATGTGTCACTATTTTATTGATATATATATTTGAAACTCAATCACAAATTATCACATAACTTGTTGTAAAAAAGTTGTCAAAAAGAATTGTTAAAAACACATTTTCCTGTTATATGGGTTAATAAATAAATTTTAAATCTAAATTACTTACACAAAATCGACTAAGTGAGGTTTATATTCATCAAACCGACTACTGAATATAAAATTTGTACCCACTTATATATTTTAAATTGATCTCTTGTACTATTATCATCATTTACATTCCACCGTTTTTCATGACTTTCAAAGATTTTCAATCAAATTTCACAAAAAGTACATTGGTATAGCTATATGATTGTACCTCAGGGTCCGCAGAGTCAAAGTCCATCGGAGTTGCCACATGAAAAACTCCGGAGCACCCTTTAATGGCTTCATCAAAGCTTCCCTCTTCACCTAGGTCAGCCTTCCACATAGACAGCTTCGTCTTTGCACCCGGCAGCTCCACCAAATGCTTCACCTTCTTCATGTTCCCTGCACATGCATATAATAATTAGCTAAAACAAAAGGTGGTGACACTGTAAGAAAGCTTAACCTCGTTATCATTATGGTGAAGAGTGGGACCTGGGTCACGAACGGTGGCTCGGACGGTGTAGCCACGCTCGATGAGTCTCATAACAAGCCATGACCCGATGAAACCAGAAGCTCCGGTAACGCAAACGGTTTCAGAAACTGAACCCATTATCTTCTACCTTTCTCTCACCCAAAAAACAAAACAAAAACAACAAAAAACGAAAAAGAGAAAACGTTGAACCTCTGATGAAATGAATAGAGTTGTTGGATTCGTTGAATTGGGAATGGAACGTGTGATGTTTGTTGGAACCTTTTATAGAAGCCTTTCTGCACTCTGCACATGAACAGAGACCAAGGAATTGTTGGTGAGCTTTACCTTCCCATCAGATTTTCTAGATTTCAGTTGGACATTACAGTAACCTTTTACTCTGTTTTCCTAAGATTACACTAATCCTAAATTAACATCAATCTTTGAAATGGAACATCGTCGTTTTGCTTTTCAAACCTAGGATTTTTCAGTTTAATCTTTACTATCAGTTTCTTTGTCTTTCACTTTCATAGTTAACATAACATACTTGCTTTTTACACCTAAAAGTTGTTTTTCATTCATAGATGTTACGTTACTCGTATCGTTTTAACCTTTATTGCCACCATTGTTACATTATAATTAACTATGCTTTCTTCGTGTTTCCTTTGTTCTAAACACATTCGTACTTATTTTCAATTTCTTACTATATATGAAGACTAACAAAACCTTTTCTTTCATCGTATAATTTTTTTTCTTATATACTGACATTTTCAAAATTAATTAATTAAGAATTTAAATATGGATTGAAAGTATCACACTAAATATAAATTATAAAGTTGAATGATATATAAAAAAAAAACAAAACTTGTATAATCTTAACCTTATATGTTTTAAATGAATAACTTAAAAGGTAAAAAATATAAATATAAATTGAAAGTCTCATGTTAAATATAAATGATAAAATTAAGTGTCATATATAAAAAGGGTTTAATTAATAATTTAATTTTTATATTATTTAAATATATGATTCAAGTATTAAAGTCAAATTAATGTAAAGGACTACGGTGAATTTTTTTTATAAAAAATCAAGTTGATTCTTTTTATAGAAATAAAGACTGATTTACAAACAAATATAAAATTAAAACAAATATAAAATTAAAATAAATATAAAATTTAAATATAAAAATTAAATTACAAATTAAACCTAAAAATAACACTTTTAAACTTAAAGTATGACTAATAACTTTTAGAAGACTCTTAATAGCTGAGATATGAAGTTTCCGTTTAATCTTTAATAAGTTTATCCTAGATAAATAAATAGCCTAAAAAGAAACACCTTTATTATATCTAACATTAAAATTATAATTTTCAAAAAATCTTATTCAAATTAATTGACAGAAGAAGAAAAAACATGTTTCGTTGATCACGTGAGCCATCAGTAAGTTGACGTTGATAGTTAGAAAAACGTGGTTTGGTTTGGAGATGACTAGTTGGTTTAATGCTAAGCCTTTGTCATCTGCTTTTTTCTAATATGTTGACTGTCTCTCACAGTATACCAAGTTTTATTTTTTATTTATTTTTTCAAACATTATTCTTAAATTTTTTGATATTAATATTTTATTTTTAGTTTTCTTTCAATTAATTAATATTTATTAATAAAAGATAAAGTTAAATTATTTATCTTCAATTTTTTTATTCCGTATTTAAATAAATAAATAAGTTGTCAAACAAATAGGTAATATTTTATTCTAAAAAAATCTGCTACTTATTTTTATTTATAAGTTAAATCTAATATTAAAATAAAATCATTAAATAAAACAACTAATTTAAAAAAATATATTAGTTGCTATATTTAACAATTTAGATATTAATTTATAAACTAAAAATTATTAATGTCTAAAATAGTCTCTATTATAAATAAAAAATAATTTATTTGTAAATTAAAGTTTAAACTGATTTCTAATATTAGTTACCAAAATTGTAACCATCAAAGAATTAATGTATAAATTGGATTCTATTTTTTTTAACTAAAACCTTGGTATGGTAATTAATATTAAAAAATAATTTAGATTTTAATTCATAAATAATTATAATTTTTTATTTATAATAAAACTATTTTAAATATCAATATTTTTTTCTATAGATTAATATATAAATTAGTTATTACAGTTGTTTTTGTCATTAAAATAGTTATTATCCAATGATTTCCTGTAGTGTAGTTTATACACTAACTAATTAATTGAAGGTATTTATTTTGGTTTCTTTAATTTTGATGTTAAAATGAAGATTTTATAGACAATTTACTTCATAACAAACTTAAATGTATTATGAGATTTGTTTAACATATACATATTTAATATATCTAAAATATTATTCATCTCAACATTTGTAAACAAATAATATACATTAGTGCAAAAACATCGCATAATTGCTTAACGTTTAACCACTTAATAGTCAACGTTGAAATCACAGGTGACAATTTATAAATGCAATTATTAAACGTCGTTTAGAATTATAATTCGATGTAAAAAGATATAAAGGGTCTAATGTCTCAACGTTAGACGTCAAAATGTTAGTGAATTCAATAAAAATTTGAACGGGAGATTGAAAATTCATTCACTTTATCTTAACGCACGAGACCCTCTTCTCTGTTCAAACTTTTCTCGAACAAAGTTTGACAACCATCACATGTAATCTTTCTTTCATTTGATACAAATGCATGTTAATTAACTACTTTACATATGATTTTCGTTTGTTTTCACCGATTATTTTCGTGTTATTGTCCTTCATAGACGCATTCTGCTTTCTCTCTCACCGGTGACAACACTTTATTCCGATGAACCCACCTTTTGAAAGTTAATTTTCGTTTTTGTTTTGAAGAACTTATTTGTTGAACTTGTTTGTTGTTTGATTGAAATTGTTTGTTGTTTGATTAAACTTGTTTGTTGTTTGTTATTGTTATTTGTTGTTGATCCTATATTACCGTGCTTTTCAGGTCTCGAAGAGTTGTAAAAAAGGATTACAATTAATTACGTATATGGACAAAATGTGACATTAAATTTACATAGTATATTAACAAAATTCGATGTTAATTTAACGTCTTCCGATATGATGCCGTTCTCAAATTCGACGTCAAAGACCAAAAATAAATAGTCGATGTTGTATGCTGTTTTTGTACTAGTGATATGTTGTAATTGTTATAAAATTTTAATCATGCATAATTATTTACTCTATTTTGTTTTCTATAATTAATTGATACATATACATATATAGTTGTGGTTTGATAATTCATTTTAACATTTATGTAATTATATATTTTTTTTACAATTTTACCTCAAAGAAAATAAAGTATATATTCTTAACATTAATTGTCCAAATCAGATAAAAAATAAAGATAAATACTTTTGCTTTGAAAATAGAATATTGTATCGGTTGTGAATGTTTTTTGTGAACAATTAGTAACGAATTTCCTAATTTTAAAACACACTCTTTCTTTACAAATATACAATCTTTCAACAATGTTGAATAATCAATAAATAAAGTATTTAATTAAAAATACACAAATTTATAAAAGAATTTAAAATTTAATTAAGCTTAATCAATAGAATTCAGAGAAATATTTTAAAATTCAACGTTCATTTGAAATAAATGACACATAAAAATTAACTATTTCGTAAGTTTAAATTATCAAGCGAAGACTTTCAAACATTATAATGTTTAATAAAAAAAAAATTGCAGTAAAGAGTTTTATTATCTGATAGCGTTTTATAGCAATATTTCTGTTGCTTTTCCGCGAAAAAAAAGAGCTTTATTGCTTTATATATTATAAAAGACTTATCTATTGGCTATATAGAAGAGAGAAATATTATCAAAATATATTTATTTATTTTTTTGTAAAAGTTGATGAATTTAAGACCAAAAACGTCCTTGATCAAAAGCTAAAACTGAAATTGCAGACATTTAACTTTGTTGTAACTTAATAGTATTCAAATATTGTTGAGAGGTTATGATTCCTCATCTCATTTCATTAATCTCATTACATTAATGGACAAGACTTATTATTCTAATTTATTCTTAATAGTAACTTAATAGTATTCAAATAGGTTTAACATACTTTTTATTCTTACATTTTTTAATTCTAATTTTATCTTCTTAATCTTTATGTATAATTTTAGGTAAATTATAATTTTAAAATTTTTATCACATTCTTTTTTACGGTGAAGGATGTATATTTCAACCATGAAATTATATATTAATGATTAATTTGGTATAATAACTTATAATACAGAATTAATAAATAATAAATTTTATTAAGATAAACAATATATATAACATTTTAAAAAATAAATTTTAAATATAACTTAATTTTATGAAATTAATAAATAAGATGAAATTTATATTTATTTATATATTATAAATTTGTTATATTTTTAATAATGTAAAATCTCTAAGTCATGTTAAAGTATAAAAGAATTTGAATAGATAACTGTCAATTCGTTTGATTTACCATTTAAAATATACTTTAAATTTATCTAAATCTTAAGAAATCAATTTATAAAATTAAATTTATCTCTCATAATAAATCATTTTATTTCTAATTAATATAAAATCTCTCACACGTATCAAAATAAATTTGAACATACGTAAGTTTCACTTTGTTTGGTTTCCCATTTAAAAGCATTTCAACTAAAGTTTGCAAATTTTAAAGAGGTAGACTGAGAATTTCTTGTTGCCATTAAAGCCAGTTGGTAACGTTGGAAGTAAATTATTTACAGATTATATTGAAATTGAATTTATAAATAAAAGGTAGTTAGAGAAAATAGAGAAATAGTTTAGAAAAACAAATATATAAATAAATAATTTTAAAAAGAATAATTTTGAAAGACATCCTGAAGCATGTTGGGACCATGAACATGATACCTTAAATTTTGTCCGAAAGTCGAATTCATAGCACTCACGGGGCAACAATGGTGCATGTAAGGACATAAAAATTTATGATGCTAAGCACAGCTTTGTGTTCCATCATCCTTCTCATACCTCATTTCACCATCAAAATGATACACTTCCAGACCCCACAACATAAACTTCAATCACTAACATTTTTTGTATAATTTTTTTTATTTACTGAATAATATATATATATATATATATTCCATCACAAACATTAAATTCAATTATATCTCAGGATCCTTATAGCATTCAAAATGGTAAGAGTACATGAAAAGTAAGGTTATTTGAAATTAGAAAAAACTA